TTGCGCTTACAATTTTGTGCGCACCTTTGTCCTGCTGGTTCCATCTAAAGGCGACATGTGACATTCTTTGCAAATAGACTGCACCTCCTGGGAGATGCAGCGGCTTCGTACGCCCAAAAACTCGTTGCTGCTTTTAAATTTCAAACATGATGCCACATGTTACGTGCATTTTTTCCACGTCGGAACCAGTGCACGAAAGTCTCACCTTCTTCGCCAAGCAAGACTTGTATCTCCCCTACGAACACCGAATATAGCTTTGTGTTCCTACCCTACTCCGCTGCTATTCGATTGAATCTTTCGTATATGTTGTTTTAAAGGAATGCCCGCGCGACGGTGGCTTGCCTCCTAGATGTAGTAGATGTAGATTCTGCCGTAGACACTCTTGTCCACGAGCACGTTGAGATGGGAAGGTTGCTTGTTATTGCAGAAGCGGGTCTGCTACAGGTCTGAGGTGAGGCGGATTGCCCTCAACCTGGGGGCACGCAGATAGCTAAGTCCCGATGGGGTACGTCCTAAGAGGGTATACCTTCTGACGTCCCCCATCTTAATCTAGACCGACTGCTGTGTACCCTATGTGTACCATACAGCAACACTCCTTAACACTAGCCCACCCTGAAGATCATCTATACAGATTCTATACTCAAATCCTAAGGCTACTAATAGCTGGTGATTTAGGATCATGAATCGAAAGATATGACTCTTCACAAGTGTATCCAAAGGAAAGAGGAGCTGTATCATAGGAATATCATCCCGACTCGACCCCCCACACCACCATTGAGACAAAAGGTGATTCCGATGACGCGGAAACACAACTAGTGGCAACTCAATGATAAGGTTATACCCATGGAGGGATATAGCTAGGCAAGATGTGCTGCAAAGCACCATGTTTTAACACAAAAAACAAAATAAATCAATATCAACGCCACACACCACTCTATTTCGCGCGCAAGCGCGTATTACGACTGGAGGAATGAGGGTGGCGACACAAGAGAGTCCAGAATTACTCCCGCAAAATTCAGTGGGACAGGACGACGGGCACACTACGGCTGAATGCGCTGACCACAAAAGGTAAGACTGAAGAACGTTCATGGCCAAAACGGAAGAGAGGCGTTAATTGCCACCCCAACCAAACTGCACAAAGAAACGTGGAGTCCAAACCATGTAAAACCAATGGCTGGACGAGGCACGAATGATCAAAGTCGAAAACTAATGCGACTAGCCACCCTATATCTCGCACAGACGGGCGATGATGAAACACAAACACACAACACATAAACGGAAAACACATAAACATGCATACAACACTAGAATTCGGCATCTCGACTATGATGATGTAGTCGACGCCAGGAAGTGACGATGGCGGAAAGAAGTCCAGTGAAGTGGGCGATGGCGAACGTCGATGAAGGCCGCAGGTTATCGTTGCTGTGGCTTGGACATGTGTACTCCGGCTATCAGCAGCAGCAGTGTGTGTGTGAGTATATCGTTCAACAGCAGCAGCAGCAGTATGTCAGCATCCCGTGGGTCGCGGGGGGTTAGCCGTTCTGGGTGCGTCAAGCCACTGTGCTATGTTAGATCCACAAGCCAACGGAGAGGTGGTGTGCACTGGAATAACAAGTAACACATCGTTCTTTGCTTTCCTGTGTGGTGTCACGTGATGCAGGTTATGCTGATGCTGGATCTGCTGTTGATCCCCGCGTTCATCCGAACTGACTGTGGGTTCGTGGTGAGCGGACGTGAGGCTCTGTGCGTGCTCCTATATCGGCGCGCTTTCCCATGCCGCCTGAAGGACATGCGCTTGGTTTTCGGGATGAGCGAATCGTGTATCTGCGAAGCCTTCAACTGGATGTTGCATTTTCTAGACTTCAGGTGGGGCTGCTGTCCCTCGACGTGANTGCGTGGCATTGCAAGGTGAAGTCCGACTCAACGGTTTCTGGCGTTTTGCTACATACTGCAGAGAGTAGCTGCGTGATTCCCCCCGCGGATTGCTTTTCCCGCCGCGTATCCAACGCAGCATCAGCAGGCCATCTTGTACGTTCCTCGAGTTTTGCGACGCACTCACTAGACCATATGTTCATCTGTGTGGAACTGTCGTGTGGTTGCGCGTGCACATGATTGATTGCGATTTACAACGAGGTTGCAACATGCGATGAAGTTTTAGCAGAACGATGAAATACAGCAGCACTGTTGGGTGTATGTCTTGATCTGTGTTGTTGGTGGCCCATCCTTCCGTACGCCCAAAACTCAGGCCCAAGTACTGGCAGCGAATGTTCTACAATGGGCACAAGAGGAAGCACGCCATGAAGTTCCAAGGGGTAATTACACCAGACGGGCTATTTGTGGATCTGTGAGGCCCCGTGGCGGGGACACGTCATGACAGCTTTATTCTAGCGCAGTCTGGTTAATGTAGAAGTTGTCGATGCTAAACAGCCCTACAGGCCATCCGTACTGTTTGTACGGAGATCCGGCGTATGGACTGAGCAACCACCTTGTCTGTCCTTTTAGCGCGTCAAGTGTCGGCCCTCTAACGCCAGAGATGGCCGACTTCAACAAGCGTATGAGCCACTGCCGCGTAACGGTGGAGTGGGGATTCAAAGAGATGACCGGCAAGTGGGCCTTTGTGAGCATGAAGCCGCAGCAGAAATTCTTGCTAAGCCCTGTCGCCAAGCAGTACCGGGTAGCCACTCTGCTTTCTAACTGGCACTCATGCATGAACGGGGGCAACGAGATTTCGCAATACTTTGGCGTGGTGCCACCCGCTTTCGAGGAGTACGTGGCGGTGTAGGTGCAAGATGCACCCACGTTGTGTGAGAATTCTAGGCATCTTCGGTGTTCCAGGCGTAAACCAAGACAAATAAGCCGTTTGCTGGCGTGAGCACGTCGCGCACGATAGACTTTCCAATTGTATGTGAGTTTCGAATGATCAGCGCCAAGATTATCTTTTCTCCTTGGTCGTTTAGGTGGGCAAGCCGGACGGTGTATGTATATCGTACGGGTGTATAAGCATTGCGTAACAATCGGATGCCGCGGTTATTGGGGACAGTTAGTTTGGGGGGTTTTAACGGTTAACTTCCTGGGAGTTAAATTGCTTGGTGCGAAGAAGTCGTCTCCTCCTTGCTGTTCATTTATAATGTGGGCAAACGCGAGCGGATGCATAGGGGAAGTACGGAATGTATCGTGCGGGGGAAGCACTGCGCAAAAGACAGACGCCACTTGTTGGATGCCAGTTTCATTTTTCAATTGTTCCTCCTGATAAAAGACTCCCCCGAACAGGCAAGCCTCCCCCGAAAAAAACGCGCAAGGCGCAACGGACGCCAAGATATTTTTTTGAAGAGCCTGCTGTTGAAAAAAA